ACTTTTCCGGACTTTTGAATCGTTGACCACAAAAAACTATATACACAAACTTTCAAAAGCAACTTTTGCAACTTGCAAGCAGCCACCCAGACATTTGCAATCTGTACTTTCAAAGTTCCTTCTTCCAACATCGGTATATTAACCTGTCAGTGTGCCATCTACTGCGCATTGAGTTCCTGATTTTGTTATCTTACTTTCTTCCCTCTCTCCCCTCTGATCTCTTTCTGGTTGTGTTCAAATGAGTTCCCCTTCTGGCTTCCTCTTCCTCCTCCTCTTCTCCTTTGCCCTCCTTCCTGCTGTTAATGCGCGCCATCTACTACCCATTCATTTCCTTGTTTGGTTTTTTTTCTTCTGATGCTGATCCGTTTTTCCACCTCTCTCGCTCCCTGCCCTTCCCTTCGCTTCGGATAGCTTCCTTCACGCATTCATGCATGCATCCCCCCCCCCCATTCTCTCTCTCTCTTCTTTGTGTTCAATGTTGTGTGTTTCTGCTGTACCAGGGGTGTGTTGACAGCACGTTGGTAGATGGCACCGTTTATAGACGGCGCCAAAGACTTGGCCAATTTCAATGTAAGAATGGATGGCGCATCTATATTCAAAATTTCGTCCTCCCCTCCATCTACCGACTTTTTCCCTTGTGGCCTGACGAGCGCCACGCTCCACATTATAGGATTTTTCCCGTGCCATCTGATTTTACAGTATAGTAACGTTCAGGGAGATAGAATATACTAGGATAGTTAGTCAGAAGATAGAATATTTTTGATATGAAAAAAGCAGTTCGTTTGAAGTTAGCAGATAGATTAGTTCTTTGCACATAGAATATTTCAGATACACCAGATTTTTCTTGACAACAAGAATATATGTCATAGATAAAATATAGATGTGTCATTGATTTGTATATGAACGGAGCTAAGCACACATGTTTATGTTTATATCTACACCCTTACATGCTGGTATTTATTTGTACATAAGGCTAGCAAGGAATGTATTACAAACCTTGAAAAATGAAAGTATATTGTAGTTAAAATACATACGAACAGTTTGCGGTTAGTATATAAGTCGAACACCAGAGCACCATGATGAACTATATATTGATTCCCGTTGCCTGCAAACATACTCTATCTGCCAGATTCTGGCCCTTTCACATAATGATTGCGATAATCAAGTCCCAACCATCTCGCTTTCTCTTTTTCCTCCCCGACGTGCACATGCTGCACATTGCCACGCGAAGCTAAAGCACTGGTATATTAGCACAACCGTGCCATCACGTATTCTATGTGCAAAACCTGCTTGGAAATCATTACTTAAACCTGCTGGGTGCACATAGTGCTTGCACATGATTGAGCTTTGATTGCCATCGTTGTTTGGGTATGTTCAACATTCATCATAAAAAATGATCATGTCTCCAAAATCAAGCATACATATACATATTTTTTATCTTTGATGCATATCAACATACTTCAAAATGCTGTCTGAATCCAACTTCTATGTGCAAAACCTGCTTGAAAATCATTACTTAAACCTGCTGGAAGCACATTGTGCATGCATATGCTTGAGCTTTGATTGCCATCGTTGTTTGGATAACTCTAAAACTCATCATAAAAGCTATGAGACAGAAATTCATATTCTATCTGTTCCCCCGGGCAAAGTGTCGATCCAGGAGATAGAATGTAGACTAATTAGCTTTTTCGAATTAGTCCATATTCTAGCTGTGTCAACCTTACTATATATTACGTATTCTATTCGCTATTGCGTGATATTTTTCGTGGCCCGTGGAACGAACACCACAGCTGCGCTGGGCAAATGCGCCTGGTCGCGCTTTCACTTCAAAATATTCAAGATTCATGGGGGAAGCTGAGGGCAGGGTTCACTTTGATGCCACCGACCGATTCGGTTCGGAGGGCCATTTAATTTATGATAATTTTTGATTTTTTAGCTATTTTTATGAGTTTTTGTTGTTTTTTCGTGGTTCCTGGCTTCTGTGGCTTTTGGCTTTCGTGGCTTTCGTGGCTTTCGTGGCTTCTGGCTTCTGTGGCCTTTGGCTTTCGTGGCTTTCGTGGCTTCTGGCTTCTGTGGCTTTTGGCTTTCGTGGCTTTGGTGGCTTCTGGCTTCTGTGGCTTCTGGCTTTCGTGGCTTCTGGCTTTTGGTGTTCGTGGCTTTTGGCTTTCGTGGCTTTCGTGGCTTCTGGATTCTGTGTGGCTTTTGGCTTTCGCGGCTTTTCGCGGCTTTTGGCTTTCGTCGTGGCTTTGGCAGCTTTCGTGGCTTCTGGATTCTGTGGCGTTTGGCTTTCGTGGCTTTCTAGCCATGCGAAGGAAAGAAGGAAGGAAGGCAGGAAGGAAGCAAGGACGAGGGCTTCTGAGGCGTGTGGCTTGTAGCTTTTGAAAATTCAAATTTAAAACCGTTTGTAAGCCACCCGGAGGTAGAATTCACAGTACATTAGGAAAGTGCCAGTCCAACAACGGTGCAGACCTTTTCATTCAGGCGGTTGCTTTCAGTGCCGGGTTGCTGACTATACTTTGTCTTCATTGCGGGGGAGGCGCTGCGCCCTCCCCCGTGCCCCCTCCCGCATTCTCAATTCATACGATTGCTACGGGACAACTACTGGGGCGCACTTAAAGATGTCAAATTTTCATTCCTGCATTTAGAAATAATTGCTGCTTCCGCCGCTCGGAAGTATTCAATGATGAGTCCAATAAAATCAATAAATACCATCGAAAAACACATTTAAAAAGGTGGGTTAACCGGTTTACCTGCCTGTGGGACAAGGGCAAGGCACAGGAGACCCTCATGCAGCCAAACCGGAGATCTGTCACGCAGCCAAACGGTCCTGTAGTCATCTGGTTAAATCGGTCAGGCAGCCAGGCTTCACGCCCCTCTCTCTCCTACCCTAATTCGAACATTCACCTTTTCAAAGTTTCATACCTGCACTTAAGGAAATCACCTTAGTAGTGCCAGGGCTTGGTACCATGTGATTTTCTTAAGTGCAGGTGAAAATGATTCAGGGATGCTCAAATCAATGCAAAAACCATGCCCCACCGATTGAGAGCCATGGGCTTACTGAGGTCGGTAGCGCTACCGACCTCCCTAACGGTATGGCATGCACTAATTTCTTCAAGTGCAGCTGCATTTTGAAAAACTATATTTCCTACCCAATCAGGGTGACCAGCAAGAAAAAACAAGGTGAGCCCGCGGACCCAAAAGCAAAAAGAAGCGCGCAACCCAGGAAAAATAAACAATCACACTTCAGCAAAGACCATCAATCCCTTTCAGCATTGCCTCTCCCTTGTCTCAATCTGCAGCTAGTCTCCAACAACATTGCAACATGGCTTCTGACAACCGTTCCTGGAAGCATGGAGCAGCATCAGCCCCCTCCATGGTTCGTCCCAACCATCCAATTTCACGCATTGCGCTTGTGGCACGCAACAATCCTGCCGTGTCGGCCATGACTTGACTGTCTGGCGCATGCATTGTGTACATTTTGGATACCCAAGACCATCGTATAAGGCTGTCAGTTCAACGGTGCATACCTTCTGTGAGCCACCAGGCGGTAGAATTTAAAGGACGCAGTTGCCATTCCAACGGCGCATAGCTTTTGTGAGCCACACGAGGGTCAAATTTAGAGGAGGCAGGTGCAAACCTTTTGTGAGCCACCGGCGTGTAGAATTGAGATGAGGAAAGTGCCGGTCCGACGGTCCAGACCTTTAAATTCCAGCGCTTGCTCTCAGTGCTGAGATGCTGACTATACTTTGTTTTCATTGCGGGGGAGGCATTGCGCCCTCCCCCCACGCCCCCTCCCGCTTTTTTAATTTAGGCGATTGCCACGGGACAGCTAAGCAATCAAGAACGCCCGTGTCATCACACACCTTGAAACTTGGACAGCCCAACTTGTTCCCGGCATTTGTTTGGTTCAAAGCAGTGCTCACCTTTAAATTCAGGCAGTTGTTTCAGTGCCGCGTTGCTGACTATACTTTGTTTTCATTGTGGGGGAGGCGCTGCGCCCCCGCGCCCCCTCCCACTTTCTTAGTTTACACTCTTGCTACGGGACAACTATGTACCAAAACCATTATCTTCTTTGCATTGACAGAGCCGCAAAGGTGGATGATAAGGCCCAGCTCGCTTAGCTGTGACAACGCTACAAAGAGGTTTCAAGGCTTTAGCTTTTATCTTCGGTGTTAACATTAACATCTCTGATGGCACATGACCTGCAAAACCCCACAATGGTGGAGGCTGAGGGCCACTTCAACCACACCCAGCTTTCAGCATAGCTTCTTTCCGCACTGTTCTATCGTTTTCCATATGTTTATCTACCTATGCGTCTATCTATCTATCTATCTGTCTGTCTGTCTGTTTGTCTATCTATCTATCTACCTACCTATCTATCTATCTATCTATTTGTCTATCTATCTGTCTATCTATCTGTCTATCTATCTATCTGTCTCTTTCTCTCTCTCTCTCTCTTTCACTATCTCTCTCTCTCTCTCTGTCTATCTCTCTCTCTATCTGCACTTCCAAGTTCACAAAGTGCTGCACCTGCCACGAAATTTGCATGTCAAGGTCCACAACGTACTGTGCCTACCACGAAATCTGCACGTCAAGGTCCACAAAGTGCTGCACCTGCCATGAAATTTGCACTTCAAGGTCCACAACGTGCTACTGCGCCTTCCACGAAATCTGCACTTCAAGGTCCACAAAGTATTGCGCTTGCCACAAATTTGCACTTCAAGGACCGCAAAGTACTGTGCCTGCCACGAGATCTGCGCTTCAAGGTCCACAAAAAACGAAAAATAAAAATAAAAATCATAAAATTAAATCCGAACCCATTCGGTTCCCACTAGCACTGGAGACTAGAAAGTAGAAGGCTCCATCTGGGAATGTTTTGAAAAACCTCTTGGCTCAAGCTGCAAACGAACAATGTTGTTTCCTGTTTGAATCCATGTGATCTACTCAGTCTACTCTTCGGCATCTGGGTGTTTCGCTGTTTCGGCCCACGCTGTGTACAGGTCAGCTGCCTCAATCTCGCTGACTCCAGAGGACGGCGGAAAGCGTTCGTCACAGATTCGCTCCGTTCCTTCGAGTCAGTCGCAGTGCCGTGGGTGGTGGCGCCGGGATTGGCCTACCGGGATTGGCCTACCTGATGTCGGTCGTTTGCTACATGGGTTTTGACCCATCCCCAAGTGACCCAGAGTTGGTGTTGGAGGATCCTTTCGAAAGTGAATTTTGTCATTTCATGGGGGAGGTGTCTTTCTCAGAGGCCCAGCCTGACCAAACAATACGTTGCAGCCTGACTAACACAAAGTATGTATATATATATTTATTTATATAACGTTCAGATATAGATTGATATAGCTGCTTGCAGCACGGCCGCAAATCTATAAAATGTTTGTTGGTTTTCGTGGGTACCGGACTGCCGCTGCGAACGCAGCCAACACCCATGTCACTTGGAAAGATGCCACTTGGAAAAGACATGCTGGTAGAATAATGAGGGCAGTACACAATATGGCGCCTCCTCGAAGATTTTTGCATGGCACCAACCTGCCTACAGACACAAAAAAACAGGAAGGTTACTCTCTCAGCAACCGATACGGCCAACATCCTGGTTTGAGCCCATGTTCTTATGAGTTGAAGGCACTCTGTGGGAGGAACGGCGGAAGCAAGCAAGAAAACCTAACAACCGAATAAGGTAACTCTTTTGAAAGAGACCTTTACATACCCTTACACGGGCGTTGGTGAATGCTCCATTCACATCAGGAATGTCGGAAGATATAATGTATTTTGCCCTGTGACAGTTAGTGACTAGCCACCTTCTGAGAAGCATCGGCAAAAAATCGGTGTCAAGCCCCTGCAATTAGAGGAAAGTATCGGTGTCAAGAGCAGCGGTACTTTGAGTGATCCATGGTGTTTGGTTTCTATCAAGACTGAGTATGTACCATTTCGCCCAGAGCACGTACCTTCACAATGCAGACAGGATCAGAAGGTACGCATACCGGAACTTGGCGCATGTTCCAACCCCGTCCAGGTGGAAGTTGGTCAAGTCTTTTTTTTGCTACCACTTGGCACTTTGTACGAGCTTCCTTCTTTTCCACAACGGGTGGTTTGCTTTTTCCACCATGACCAAAAGCGTCTATTGTAGACATTTGTAGACTATCATTGAACCGACGGTATGCTTGGCTCCCAAAGCGGTGTATAACTATGGCCTCATCCTGTTTGAATTAGGAAGTTTGAGTCGCCTGTTGGACTGAAGGAGCCACCATGACATAGCAGTACATAAGGCTGTCCTTCCAAGATTCAATAATGACATAAACGCTGTTATTCTATTTCTTCTTCAAAGAGGTGGCCGGCTACATCATTGTTGCTCTCCTCTTATTTTCTGATTGCCCCTCATCAGGATAGCTTTTTGCTTTGAAGCTCGGCAGTTCTAGCAATTTTCACGGGAACTGCCTTCCTGCAAAACTGTCTCCAATGGGTCTCCTCCGTATTCCTGAACTTCACCGGCGTTCACCAGGTGGTCATTGGCATTGGTATACCTCCCGACTAACCAGGACCTTCCTTCAAAGTGACCTTTTGAGATCACCGGACTTAGACATGTAAAAGGTCACTTGGAGACTGCAAAGAGGTCACTTTGAAGGTCCTGGAACATACAGTAAGTCCGCAAGTCCTTAAATCTCTGACACGCCAGCGTGTAGGAAGAAATGGTTTCACCCAAAAAACCTTTTTGACGTACGATCGGAGGAGCCCTGGTGCGATCACAGCCCAAGCCCTTCGCAACTGTTTGTAGGAGCAGCAGTTGGCCGACGACTTGCAGGTGGGAGCGCACAACGGCCCAGCCAATGGCTTTGTTGCGCTTGAAGCTTGAGCCATTTGGCCACCCGATTTTGTATTAAGGCTTGAAAAGGCTTGATATTTGTTGGAACATCCACTGAACTGTTTCACTACGTGCACATGAGCCTAGCAGCATCTAGCAGCCGAGTTTTAAAACGTTTTATATCCTTTTATGCTGGTGGCATGTTGTACCCTTATTGGGGATGCTCCTCCCATAGCCCCTCCCATAAAACACCCAACCCATCCTAACCCCACAACTCTAGTCCACGCGTTGACACCTTCGGCTGCCCGCCACTCTTTTCACCGTGGAGCCTCGCCGAGTGCCTTGCCTCGTCGCAGCTGCGTCCGCTGATGACGGGGAGACAGGGGCTGAGTTCGCAGATTTGGGGGGGTGGTTTCAGTCAACCCGCCATTTGCATCCATTTCTCGTTTGCCTAAAGACTCCAAGAATAAGTATAGAAAGTACCATTTCTTTGCTGGTATTTGCTGACCTTTTCTCCCTCTCCCTTCCACCGTCTGCGTTCACGGCGCTATGCGCTGCAGGTGGCGAATGCGACGCTCGAACGCGAAGGCGAACGTTCGAGCACCAGCAGCAGCAACGAGACCTCCGAGGTCGAGGGAACACGGTTGAGGAGTCGAGTCGATGGGAATGATCCAAAGCGAGAAGCTGGATCAAGACTGGGGTTGAGTATGGTCCCATTTACAGTGCAGTTTCAATAGGGGCCACTAAGATTCATTTAGGGACTTATATAATTAGATATACTAAAATCTGATGACGTTGTGTTCGTTTGAGTTTACATTCTGGTAAGAAAGGGGGGCTCCAAAAGGTTGACTTGCCATCAACTCGACCGGCTTCTATCCGGTCCAACAGCCCTCCTAGGTATGCATGGACGCGTATGGCCATTAGTAGCTGCAAGACACTCAAAGTTGATGAAACAAGAGAGACAATACAGATTAGATTAGCAAAGTCGTCACATGAATCGGAGCAACATAGGCTGGGCTTGTAAACGCATCACCAACTTGCATGCGATGAGTGGAAGTAGTCTACGCACGAAGACGATGAACTATACACGAAGACTCCACGCGTGTCGTCGCGTTGCGAGTTCGATCCTTTTGGAATTTCTTGAGATATGATGTTTGAAGAAGCACCGGCTGGTTGACCCAGGTTAGGTTTCCCTAAATTTATCCCCTTTTCTCGCTTGGCTGCCTGCCAAAGAAACCGAACGAATGCAGGCCCGGGATAAGCTGAAGGAACGCGAACATCGTGAGTCCGAGATGAGCGAATCACGGATGGAGCGCCCTGCCCGGTTGAGTTGGTGTCCGGTGGAGATATCCAATGTGTTTACTCTATGTTTATTGTGATTATGCATATTGCACAATGAATATACAGTATACATCAGTATACATGTTTGCAGCGTCAAACAACAAACACTAATTGATTTCATTGACCTGGACTGACACACAAAGATGCGCCAAGTCATGACTCGGCAGGAACCTGTGAAAGAGTGGGGTCCAGTCATAGGACCTGGTCTGGATCTTTCACAGCTAGAGATGGACTACGCGATATATATATATATATATGTGTGTGTGTGCCACGTGTGGGTTAACAAAAATCAAGACAAGGATGAAAGTCAGGAGCCGTGCCGCTCCGAGTCCAACGGCTCCCTCCAGGAGTACATGCGGAAGCAGGGCGAGCTCCCTGATGTCAAGTCCGCAGGACGCCTTCTTCCGTTGTCCTCGTAGACACAGGTGGGAGGGACAAATGGTGTGTGGCAGCCAGGAGGTTGTTTCCTGTTGTTTTGGTTTCTTTAATTTTAGTTTTTGTTCAGAGTTTGTGTGATAGCTTCTGGCTGCCATGGATGCTTTTGGTGGCTTGTGTTGGCTTATCGTGGAAGGCACAACGATCCCGCAACCCGAAGGATCTAAAACCAAGCCAAAAGCACCAGATACGTTTGTGACGCCATATGAAAACCCTACTAGGGGGAAAGATAACACAAAAACACAAAAAAAAAGACAAACATAAAAATGTCCAAAGAAAAGGCAGCCTTGTGGGAGCATACTCAGATTGCAAGTGAAATGTGGGAACATGTGGTCAATGCAGATACCAAATGTGGTCCTTGTGCTGCCTTAGTTAAATACCTTAATAAAGTCCACTGGATTCCAACACATGACGCAACAATCAAGCTCCCCGATGGACATCAAGTGTCTCTTCGCAATGACTCTCCTAAAGAAATTAGACGTATCGTTCGCCTGGCATGGTCCCACTATGTTTTGGGACAGACGCAGCATCGTAAAGGTATTACATTCCAGCCAGTTGATCTATATACACAGCATAAGCTAAATAGACAATTCTCAGATGCATCCCGTAAGCTTCTTGTACTCAACCTCACTGGTGGTTATCAAACAGGGGCTGTGAAATCTCTCTGGGGCTCCTCTCAGTCCATTAACTGTGCTTACTGTGAAATGCCAGATATACACCAACACCGTCAGTTAGAATGTCCGAATTTCCAACATCTTCGTGATAAACATCCGGAGGCAATAACTTATCTTCATGAATTTCCCAACTTGCTTTGGTTTCCTCTCGCCACACAGCATGCTGCCCAGAAGACATACAACTTGTTGGTTCAAGATCGGATTGGCCCCATTCTTGATGTCCCTAATATTGCCGATTGTCCACATTTCGTTTTTTTTTATACAGATGGCACTTGTGATAAACCGGCACATCAAAACTGTTGTCGAGCTGCATGGGCGGTCGTTCAACATGTCCATCGAAATCCTGACCACCCTTCCATTGATGATTTTCAAGTGGCGCAGACGTCACAAATCCAGGGCCAACAGACAATTAATCGAAGCGAATTAGGGGCTATAGCATGGTTGACACAGCATTTTGCCACTGCCTATCCAAATCGATTCATGACGATTCACACGGACTCATGTTTTGCGCTTAGGATCGTTGAAGAAATAGCTCAGGGAGTCTTGGACCCCAGAACTTACCAAAAAACACATGTGGACCTCCTCCGGGTTGTTCAGCAAAACTGGAATCCGTTATACCACTCTATTTGCAAAGTCAAATCACATCGAACATTTGAAGAGGCATGTGACTCCGAAGATTTATACACGATTATGGGTAATGATTTGGCTGACAAGGCAGCTAAGCAGATCAATAAATTGGATAATCCCCTTCTCTTGACTGCCACGGAAACCATTTCTGACCACTCGCAACGCCAACGGCATGTTTTGTCAACTGTATATTGTTACCTCGCGGAGTTAAATGCACTTCATTCAAAACTTAATTTGGAGAAGGAAAAGAATGCGGCTGCCACACACGAATTTAACACACTTGATGCATCTTGATGCCGTTTCTAATTATCAGAACACACTTCGAACATGGCATGTCTCTAATGTGGGCTGGATCCTTCGGTGCGACCTACCAGAAGTGGTTGCGCAAGCGTGTCCTTGTGGTGCGTCCATTGCATTTAAGGTTTGGCGTATGTTTCATACCTTTGAATGGAGATCATGTGACTCGCCGGCTACACCAGGTGATTTTGGTGTTTCATGGTATGAATTGGCCTTTTACTTTGCGATTTTGCAGGACATTTTCTGCCTATTTGGATCTCATCGAACACCGAAAAATTGCCTTTGCCGTATGACTATCACTCACCCGAAGCTCAAATTCAACCCCAGGAAAAAGGAAGCTTATGGCATCAAGCCTCTGTTCTTCGCTCTGTTGTGCGTTACCTGGAAAACTCCCTCCAGTGCGAGTTTTACCCCCGATATAAGAAGACCAATGCAAGCTCTTTGATACGACTGGGATACCACCGTAGTCTTGTAGGGGGCATCTCTGCGCGTCCAAATATGCCATTTGCTGATCTGCTGATTGCGAATATGACATCCTATTCGTCGACCCAATCGTATCCACTTAATGTGCGGGTGCTTCCGACACTCAAAGCTGCTGATGAACTTTGTCCCGATCCGCCTTACTCTGATATTCCGTACCGAAAGAGGCATAACCTCTATCAAAAGTTTAAGAAATGCCTTCGCTTGAAACATAACCTTGCAGATATTGATGTTCCAAATTAGATGCTTGCATATGTGGCTGGTAGTAATTCATTTTTAACATGTCACCCATCCTCACTGTGTCTTACACCGGTGCTGGATTTTGGTGTGATACACTTTTCTTTGTGTACATGATGATTTGTGTCGTACATATCTACTCTCTAGTACCCCACTTTTAGTGGAAGGGCGTGAGAGGCGAACCCTGGATCGCGAGTTGGTGTGGCAGGTTCATTTCTTTTTTTCAGTCATGTCCCAAGATACAGCATGACCGGCGCAAACCGCCTTGAAGCAGAGCTACACTATACACTTCAGGACCCATGTTGTTGATAGTCCCATTTTGATCCCTGGCCCAGTTCCAAAGATTTGTTGAACCATTTTGTTGGTGAGAAAGTCAAGGTTAATCTAACAGTGTCTTAGCATGACATGTTACAAAGTCACATCAAGCTTTACAAAGGACATGTTGCATGATGCAACAGAGATGCTCATGGGATTTCGATATGGGGATTGATTGCTGGATTGTGGGAAACAATGCCAATGCCACAGCAAAAAAAACGACACCTAATTCTCACGGTATTTGTCGGTTCAAAAGGAAGAAACGCAAAACTACAATGTCACTCACCAAATGTCTATCAAATCTCACCCCTGGTTGGTTCAATCATGACTACCTACGAACAGAATTGGTCCGCGCATGCTGTTTGTTCACCGTCCACCCCGGGGCTGACCGGCCACACCGGCGCTGGGTTCGGTGACAGGATCTGGGAAGAAGTGCCAGGGCAGTGGTGGTGCATCCGGGCAAATGAGTCATTCTCATCCGTCCAGTGGCACTGGCAGCCCCTCGGACATCTGCGACTCTCGCGGATCCGGGGCTCGTGTCTGTTCTTCCTCGAGATTACGAGAGATCGCGCCTGTGGAAGGCACAATAGGATCATACTGGACAACTGACTTGCCCTCATCCGGATCCTCATCCTCATGATCATGATCATCCTCGTCATCGTCCTTCTCATCATCAATGGCAACCAATATGGGATATCCATTCTCTATAGCTGGGCAACTTGTCCTTGGATTGTGTTTTCGGTCGGCACACCAGCCGTCAAAGCCGTTTGGTCGGGGTCTCGGGTTGAGAACACAGCATCCGAATGTGTTTTGCTCAGGGACTCCATGCACGAATCAACACATGTCAAATCATCAGATATTGCATCACCACCCTAGATGTCACACGTACGTCGCGTACGTCATTTGTTTAAGCACATCATTCAATGATGCGAACAAATACGCACTTCATGAGGCCCCACAAAGGACATCAGATCACTCGAAAAAGCAGCACACGTCACATCTCCACAGTACATGCCCCATCATTTACCACATCTCAGTCTTCGAAGTTGATTGGATAAAGAATGATAAATAGATACACACTCACTCACTTGACGTGAGTGTTCAATGACAAATCACCCTAGATATTGCATCCTCAGGTTTGGCATTCATCCAATCTCCCAGTAGATCTTCTTGACCCCGCGGCCTCGCAAGGTTGAGCATGTTTGAGCTAGTGACTCCAAAGGGAAGACGGTTTCGATCTTGTGCACCCTGACACCCTGCCAAACATCGCCATGTAGGTTGAACGGCCCGATGCAGTGTCAAAGTCCTCCAAACTTGGACCCCGATCTACTGTAAGTGATTCGAGGTATGGAAGGGACTGCACTGGGGATTCCCATCAGAGATCTCAGAAGACTTTCTTGTAGTGTGCTCAGCCGTCAGGGGTACCGGTGTCACACTGGCATATGGTAATATACAAATATCAAATTATCAAATATTATTATATAGACTATATAGAATACAGTGTATATATATATTATATAATACCTGAGGAACAGTATGTTCATTTTTGTTGGTCATACGGCATTTGACCTCTTTTTTGTCATTATGTTTTTTCCCCTAAATACGGGCATATATGGTTTCCTCTCTTGGCTCAATAGGGTACCATATTCGGGTGTTCCAACGCAGTATTCGCACTAGTATGTTGGAATATGGTTACGTTTGTTTTTCAATATAAATAATGACAAAACACTAGCATCATACGGGTACCCCCAAATATGCATGCAAATATGGCCAGTCTACGGCCATGTTCGTATACAGTTCCCAGTCATTCAACATGGAGTCCCCCAGAGAGATGTCCGTGCCCAAATACGGCATATGCACAAAAAAAAGCGGTCAGTACGGCTTGAGGCCATAGTGATCCAAAAAAGGATCATATGGGTTTCCAGATATATGTATATATATATACATTAAGGAATATAGTTGGACTGGGGTGAATGCAGTTTGGAAAGTTGGTGACGCTGCGGGGGGCACTTGGAGCAGTTGCCGCTCTACCACCGGCCGTCGAAAGAGCATCTCGCGAAGACGTACGACGAGCTGCACGTCTCGCAGAATCTCAGATGTTCCTCGAATCTAGTGAGTTTCCTTTTTCCCACGGAACAACCGCGCAAAAGCCGGTAAGCTCAGCAGCTTGAGTCCGCACGCCATCGATTGGCGTGTGGGTTCGCACATGTTCACACTCAAATTTATTGGTAGAAATCCCCCCATGGTCAAGTATGGCATGTGCTTTTGCATTGCATCCGTGTCTTTTGCAGGATGGAGGCATGAGTGATTAGTAGTATATAGCAGTTTGTCAACTGAAGGGAGTGAGTGACATGTGAAACTTCGCATGAGTACAATGACCTGGCACAAAACCCCTTCACAGAGGTGTTTGTATTTGCAAGCTACGGTCCAATTCGGCGTGCCGTATTTTGTGTCGCCGAAGGAAGAAAGCCTGCACCACCTCGGATATACAAGAAGGAATATATATATATATATTGTATATGTATTATCATTCATGATGCCTCCGACTTTTCCGGTTGCATGCCAACAGTGAGGTCGGACGCCGAGATACAAACCCAACACCACCAGCCTCGTGGCAGCAGGAGAGCCATGATGAGGATACATGGGGAGCAGGGGAGCAACCTATGGAGAATCATCCAATGTTATACGCAGTTGTTTCAGAGTATATAGATGGCAGAATCCCCAAGAAATCCTTTTTAATAGGCTCATGGAGAGCCTCCTATTTTGTTTGAAAAGGTTCTCTTCGAGTTCGCGAAAGTAGATGTGTGTTATATATGTTTGTTCGCGAGAGAGTTGTGAAAGATTGGTATGTGGAAACAAGCCTAGACCAGAACACTTCTGATATTACAGTATACCTCCTGCAAGAGTTAAACAACGTGAAAAACCTGGAATTCGCGAAGAGTTGCATTTCCGCAAGAAGGAATTCAGATCAACCACCAGCTGGGGTTTGCCCATCGCAACTTGTGTATGTGGGATCAAATCCGCTGGTGGATTCGTTGCAGGCTTCGTCTTGGGGGTTGGTAGCTCACCTTTGAGACAAGGCCTTTGCTTCACTTCAGTACTCGACCTGAAAATACACCAGCATAGACCGGCAAAGACTCCAAATGTTTGTTTTCTCGCTGAGAATCCAAAGTCGCCGCTCCGGTTCTTCACCTTTTGAGGTGCCAAAGTTATGCACCTTGGAGAAGGGGCACACGAACACGCAGGCGATTTGCTGCGCGCGGTTCTGTGCATAGGTCTCAGTCTGCCGGATCGAAAGGCAAAGCCTGAACAAAGGCTCGCAGACAAAGCTCATCTCATTGGATCTCATTAGCTTGTACTTTGGTTCACTCTATGCCTCCAGAAATTGTGAACAAACGGCAGCTGGATGCTGGGGTATTCCTAGGTCGCTCGGAAATGGCCCAGTTCACCAAGACAAGACCAATGAAGACTCTAAGTCCAAGTTGTCCAAGCGGCGACACCACTACAAGCCAGACTAAGAGTAGTAGAAAGTAGGTAGTAGTAGAGTTAGTAGTAGTAGTAGTAGTAGTCGTCGTCGTCGTCGTCGTCGTAGGAGTGGTAGTGGTAGTGGTAGTCGTAGTCGTCGTCGTAGTCGTAGTCGTCGCCGTCGCCGTCGTCGTCTTCTATATGCGCATCGGTTGGACGATGCCTGCGTGGACCTCACACAGGAGTCTGCCCGGCGCCATGAAGGCCTTTATAGCCAAAAGCTGACTTCAGCAGCCGTGCGAAGGTAGTCTCCTTGGCCTTGTGAGGCTGGTGGAAACGCAGCAAGATTGCCTCCAGCAAGGGCACTTGTTCATGGTGTGCACGTTCAAGATGAAGCGTCACGTTGCCTGGCCAGGTGCCACAAAGCATGCACTTCTCCACCTGCCGGCGGCACAGGTTGGGGTAGTCCACAAGAAGTTTAGCATCTAGGATATCAATAGCAGGCAGCCACAGTGCACTCCAGGCATCAGCGGCCTTGGGCTCGTGGATGATATTGCTGATCATGGCAGCCACTGGTAGATGTGGATCTTCATCTTCCTCCTTGGTGATCAGCTCAGCACCCCCATGCGGGGTGCAGAGAGATCAAGCACACTGGCGTGAACCATAGCTGGAAGTTTGTAGAACGCTTGAAGTTCCTTATCATCATCGTAGATCCACCATGGGAGGTTGTCCGGTCCATGGAGTGCGTGATAAAATGTGGGAGCCAGACCTTGGTGCCCCAAGTGACGTGAGTGTTGCTTGTCCGCTCACGAGAGTGGAATCTGTCGATTTGAGACAGGTCAGGTCTGCTGGTCCCAAGGCATGTAGTCCAAGGCTGGCAGGCCATGCTCCACGAAGTCAAGAGGCTTCGCAGACATACAAGTGCAAAGGGCAGCCGTGATCACAGTGATCCACAACCCTGACATGGTCATCTTGTCCCAGCCTGGACTCCGATTGGCAACTGTGGAACATAGGATTGAACAGCTGAAGAAGGTGATGAGGAGTGAAATCTACAACATCATGATCATCATGGCCAATCCGAGGGCAGGGTCGTCCATTGGCCATTGGCCCGGAGCAAAAGCGGAACATTTGTAGACCCCTGGAAAGTTGGACCAAGCCATTTGCTTATGAAGCGCCCCAAACTCGGCCCGTGACCACCGAGTCCATGTAGCATGCAGAAGGGTTCTGCAAGGTTCGACATGGTGGTAGGGCATCTTCATCACCCACAGGGCTTCCAACATCTTCCCCAGATGCTGGGCCAGAGGCGAGCCTTGCAAAGTGGGAGGCCTCACCTGCCAAAGACTGGTGTGAGCCAATTGATGCAGTTGGTGTGGACAACTCCACAATACCTATGTTCTCCAAAGTTCTTTACCTTTGATGAGACAAGTGGCTGGAGATCAAGTCTTTTTTGGGCATATCACTTGGGAACAACAATTGCAGCATCCTGTTCTCCAGTTCTCCTTCTGTGGGAGCGGATGGCTGCCCAGTTGCATCATGACACGCCAATCCGAATGACATTCTTCTTCTTCTTCTTGACACCCATGGTCTTATGGTCTTCAGCACTCACTGAATCTCGTCTCAGCTTGGCTACAGGAGTTGGGAACTGCCGAGATCGAACCCGTGAAAGGTTGGACTGGACTGCGGTGTTTGTGGACTCACCTTTCAGCACCTCTACACTCTACACATTGCGTTGTCATGAGCTTCATTCCCATGGCATCATGCACACCAGGAGTCCTCCTCTTGATCTAGCTAGAGTGCAGCAGATGGACTTCCAACATGTCGACATTCTGGAGAGATTTTCAGAGGTTTGCAAAACATTTGACATCACATTCGTCTAAGGCCTAAGGCTCCTCCAGAAATTTTCCTTGCACGTCGCCTGATCTCTGCTACTTCTTGACACAGAGGTGCATTCTTTGTGGCTTCTGCTCCAGACTGCGACAGATGTCAGCGCACATGGGACGAGACCACCCCGAATACTATAGGATCAAGGGTGAAGTCATTCCAAATGTCGGGACTCCCTCACCCTGTGAACAGTGTGGACACGACTTCAAATCCAGAACTCACACCTTTCCGGTGGAAAAGCAACTTGGTCGTGCTCTAGCCTACAGGAAATACCGAGAGCGCAGAGGATGGATG